CATGCAGTTTGGCTTTTTTTTTTTTTTTTTTTTTTGCATCATTTTTAAAATGTAGATAAACTCAGTGATTGTTTGGCGGAACTGGGGATTGAACTCAGGCCTTTGTGCTTGCCAGGCAAGTGCTTATTCTACTGAGCCATCTTGCCAGGCAAGTGTTTATTCTACTGAGCCATCTCCCTGGCCCCACATCTAGCTTTTTAACATTAGGTTATAACCATCACCACCATCCTTTCCCAAAATGTTTTCCTCTTTTCCTGTATCTTTTTCTTTTTTGTGAATTTAGGACAGGGTCTACAGGGTGTACAGGGTCTCATTAGATCGGAATTGTCGTGATCCTCCTATTTTCAGCCTCCCAAGCTCTAATCGGGATTACAGGTGCATACTGCACCACCACACCCAGTCTCAATCTCAGTCTCAGCACGCCCAGGGGGGGTGGGGGATGGCAGTGCTCACTGGGGATGGAACCCCAGCCGCTGTGCTTTGCCTAAGCAGGCGCTGTAGTCCACTGAGCTATCTGGCCAGCCCCTCTTTTTCTGTATCTTACTGACTTGCTAGAAATGACTACAAATCTAAAATTCAGTGTATATAATATTTCTAAGCATGCATAAAAGCTTTTTACACTAGAGCCCAGTGTGGTGATGCACGTCTGTCTTCCCAGCACTCCAGAGACTGCAGCAGGAGTGGCACAGGTTTGGAGCTTGGGCTGCATAGTGAGTTCAGGCCCAGCCTGGACACAATAGTGAGATCCTATCTCAAAACAAAACAAAATCCTACTGTGGTGGTAATCCCAGCACTCAGAGCCAGAGGCAGGAGGATTGCTGTGAGTTCCAGGTCTGGGCTACAAAGTGAGTTCAAGGCTAGCCTGAATCATATTGTGAAACCCTGTCTCAAAATCAAAATAAAATAAATAAAATCAAACAAAGCTTTCGTACTAGGTAATTTGTGTTTCCTAAAGAAAGTTTAGAGAAATGATAACTCAGCATCTTCGCTTGCAGAAATTCATTGTGAAATCTTGTTATTCAAGATTTCATGCAGGAAATTGGAACGCTATAGAGAAGATTAGCATGGCCCCTGCACAATGTGGCAATTAATGATTAAAACAGAAATTTAACTTTTTTTTTTTTTTTTTTTTTTGCCTTTTTTGAGACAGTTTAACTATATAGTTCAGGATAGCCTTCAGCATAACTTTGTAGCCCAGGTTGACCTTGAATTTGCAGCAGTCCTCCTGCCTCAGCCTCCCAAGTGCTGGGACTACAGGTGTGAGCAACCTCGCCCTGCTTCAACTTTTATTTAGAAGTACAGTATAAAAATTCTGTAGTTGAAATGTAGTGTTAACCCTAAGCAGTTGATCATCTTTTTTTTTTAATGTATTTGGTTGTGGCAGGGTCTTACCATGCAGCCTGGACGCGTGGCAATCTTCCTTTCAGCCTCCCCAGCGTGGGGAATACAGGCCTGTGCCACTACTCTGGCCAGCTCAGCCTGCCCTGGGGATGGGGATGGGGCTGGTGCGGCATGTGGTGCTGGGATTGAACTGTGGTCCCTGCATTTGCTTAAGCTTGGTTAAGCAGGCACTTTAGTCCACTGAGCTATCTCGCCTGCCCTTCATCATCTTTTTAATACATATCATTTTATGTGCCAAAGTACTGTGAATTATTATATTTTTAATTTAATTTTGCATAATGTTTAATAAGAAATCAGCTGGGTGCAGTACCACATGCCTGTAATCCTAACCGCTTAAGAGCCTGAGGCAAGCGAACCGCTTGATCTCGGGATTTTGAGGCTAGTCTGGGCAACACTCAAGACCCCATCTCAAAGAAAAACAAACAGGAACTAAGATAGTGGCATCTCTTTGTATCCTTTAATTCTTTTTCCCTGTATTATCTTCTAAAGTCATTAAGCCATCCATTATAATTGAGCCTTAGATATTCATGGTGGGGAGGCTGGCAGGTAAAGCACTCTGCAGTGCCACCAGGCTTTACTTTCAGCATTTATTTATTTATTTATTTATTTATTTATTTATTGTATTTTAGGACAGGGTCTATAGGGTCTCACTATGTAGATCAGGCTTGTATGATCCTCCTGTTTTCAGCCTCAAAGAGTTGGGATTACAGGTGCACACCACCACGCCCAGTTTCGGTTGCCCCCTCACTGTGCCCCGGGGGTGGGGCTGACGCTGCATGCCAGGGTTCGAACCCTGGCTGCTGTCTGCCTAAGCAGGCGCTTTAATCCTCTGAGCTATTTGGCTAGGACTTGGAACTTTCAGCATTGTGTACCTTAAGCCTCTGCAAATCTGTACCCAGGTAGATTCACCCAAGACTTGTAGGATTGAATCGAGAGTCAGGAACACCACTGACCTGTGGCTCCTGGTATAAAATTAATAGCTGAAGGACGTCTTCAGGCTGGTTTTATGCCCATGGATGGTGTTGTACCCAGGCATGACATAAGTAGATTCTTGTTGGAGCTTAGGATTCTAGGGGGCTGGGGTGTAGCTCCGTGTTGGGCACTTTCCTAGCAAGCCCAAGAGCTGCATTTTGGTCTCCAGCCTGCAATATCAACAATAAAAACTTTTTTTTTTTTTTTGTATTTTTAGGAAAGGCTGTACAGTGTGTTCAGGGTCTCACTACTAGATTGGACTTGTAGTGATCCACTTGTTTACAGCCTCCCAAGTGCTGGAATTACAGGTGCGTGCCACCACACCCAGTGTCTCAGCACGCCCCAGGGTCAGGGCCAACACGGCAGGCCCTGTCCCTGCTTGTAGGCACTTTAATCCACTGAGCTATTTGGCTGGCCCAACAATAAAAACTTCTGAGCAACCTTTGATAACTATGTTAAGCACAGTTTCTGTCAGCCTTGAAGGGTTTTTTTTTTTTTTTTTTTTTGAAGTTTTTCATGGTGTATGTTTCTGGAGGATTTTTTTTTTATCTTGCGGAACCGGGGATTGAACTCAGGCCCTTGCACTTGCCAGGGAAGTGCTTATTCCACTGAGCCATCTCCCCGGCCCTTCTGGAGGATTTTAGAGTTTGTTAGTTTTTCCCAAACTTGAAAACTAAGACCACCGCAGAACACATCCTCAAACCCGCCTTTGAGGTCTGATGTGTGCAGTTGGTGGTTGTCCAGTCAGCAAGCTTCAGATTGTCCTCACCTCACTGCTGGAATTTATCTCAAGAAGGCCTGGGCCGGAGGTTATCGTCCTTCTCCTGCTACAGTAATCCTGGATGTCTCGGCGTTCAGGGATCCCTACGGCTGCACTGTTAGTGGCCATTCCTGTGCAGTGGGTGGCAGCTGTGGGTTCTGAGAGTTCTAGAACTCAAGGACAGCCCAGGGAGTTCCAGCAGGCAAGTTCAATGATTTTCACACTTTTCCTCCCAGTGGAGGAAGGGTTGAGCACACCTAGTGGAAAGAAATGGGGTCGCCTGCCTCCTCCCCCGACGACAGCTACTAGGTGCCCCAGAGAGCCCCAGGCCCCAGGTAACAAAGTTCAGAACTCCTCTGTGAGCCAGGCACTGTGGGATTACACCTTAGTAGTCCCAGCTCTCAGCAGGCTGAACAGGAGATCACCGCAAGTTTGAGGGTAGCCTGGGCTGCGCAGTGAGTTGAAGGCCAGCCTGGAATATATACCGAGACCCTGCCTCAAAAAGCAAACAAGATCACGCTTGTGGTCTGTTAACTTCCTTTAGAGATGGGAGAACAGGGGCCCCAACAAGGTGGGACTTGTGGTCAGTGACAGTCAGGTAAACATACACGTGAGCCCCACAGCTTCCAGTCCTCTCCCTACTCTGTGCCTCCCCAGTCTCTGTGACGTCCACGCCCAGAGTGTGGTCACTGCTGCTCGGAATTACTGCACATTGTTTGCTAGCTGGAGTGCTGAAGATACTGGGTGCATGTCTGCTCCACCTCATTCCAACAGGGTATGAGACCCTGTTTCAAAATAAAAAGGGCTGGGGCTTACTAGTGGGTTTGATCTCTCCTAGTCCTACAAACAATGGTGTTTGTTTGAACACAATAGTTCACTTTTCAGCTTTTCTTTTTCTTTTTCTTTTTCTTTTTTTTTTTTTTTGTGGTACCAGGGATTGAACTCAGGACCCTGTGCTTGCCCAGCAAGTGCTTATTCTACTGAGCTATCTCCACGGCCCTGCTTTTCTGTACTATAACACATGCAACTTTTGTTGTTGTTGATCTCTCATGTTTTAGGATATCCTCATTTGCTATTTCTTGTCCTGAACAGTATGTGCTAAGAATATATTAAATGAATAATGAGTATTGACCCCCCCACTGAGCAACTGGAGTAAAGATAGAAGTAAGGAAGCAGGCGCCCCATTCCCTAGGCCCTTCAGTGGAAGAAACAGGAGGAGGCACAAGAGAAGTGCGCAGTTTATTGGTGGCCCCCATGTTTACCTTCGTGTCTTAAAAAGTTGGAAACTGGACACACTGGATGAAACAGGGTTTTGAACCTAGGTTGTCAAGCAGTGCAGAACAGTGACTGCTTGTGCCCTAAGTGCTCAAGCTTCTTATGAGGCCAAGGGACAGGACAGGGGACCCAACTGGGCCCTGGGGGCCTGCCTGAGTGGGGCTGATGTGGTGGGAGGCAAACAGGCTGAAGTCCACAGGGTGGACAGCTGCACCCTGGAAGGCTTTCAGTCTCCTCGAGTAACCTAAGTGTGCCCTGGACAAAGCACAAAAATGTCTGTGTGGGCATAAGGATACCCAGCCTCTGATAGTTAACATTTAACCAGTGTCCAGCCAAGTTCATTGGCTCATGTCTGTACTCTCACCTACTCAGGAGACAGACAGGAGGGTCACTCAAGCCTAGCAGGAGTTCAAGGCCAGGTTGGACAATATAGGAGACCCATCTCATGGGGGGTGGGGGGGTTGAGGCAGAAATGACCAGAGATGCAAACAGTAGGAAGTACCGCTCAAGAGAAAAAAAGTCAGTAAAATCAGCAGGTGTACTCTCAGAAACTACACAGATGATAGAATTACTGCAGAAAGACATTAAAAAGTATTCACTTTTTTGTGGATTTAAGAAAGTGGGAAAAAAATAGAAGAAAGGTTGAACATATGACATGGTGACATGGCAGATAAAGGAAAAATCTAACTTGAACTTCTAAAGCTGAAATCCACAATGTTTAAAAATATGCTGGGTGGAATGAACAGTCAGTTGCAGATACTGCAAAAGAAGAAAGGAACGTGAAGTCAGCAGTAGAAACTATCCCAAGTGAAAGCCAGAGAGATAAAAATCATGGAACAAAAATGGTATCAGTGAGCAGTCTCATAGATACATAATTGGGGTCCCAGAAAGAGGAGGGACACAAAATATTTGAAAACATTAAAGATTTTTCTAAATTGAAGAAAAACTATAAACATATAAATTCTGTAAGTCTAATGAACCTCAAAAATAAGAAATGTGAAGGGCTGGCAGTATAGCTCAGCAAACTAAGCGCTTGCGTAGGTAAGCACAGGGGCTGGGGTTCGGTCCCTGGCACTGCATGCCAGCTGGCCCCACTCCCAGCTGGCATGGAGTAAATCCCAGCACTAGGGAGGCACAAATCAAGAGGATCACTACAAGTCCAAGCTGCGTAGTGAGACCCTGGGGTACACACAAAAACAAACCAAAAGGAAAAACTTAAAAATAAGAAATGTAAAAAGCAAAAGCAAAAACTATACCAAGGCACAAAATTAGCGGTAAAGAGAAAAATGAGAAAATCCAGAGCAAAAAAACCCCCAAAGATTAAAAAATAATAGTAACAGAAGCCAGCCTTGGTACGAAATACCTACAGGCCCACCACTCTTGGAAGGGTAAAGCAGGAGGACAAGTTCAAATCCGGTCTGGGCAATTTAGTGAGTTAGCAAAACCTAATCTTGTCTGGTGCCAGAAATCGACTCAGGACCTTCCACTTGCCAGGCAAGTACTATACCACTGAGCTATATGCCCAGCCCCAAAAAACCTATTTCAAAGTGAAAAATAAGCAAAGGTGTAGGGATTAGTTCCATGCAAAGATACGCAGTATGGATCCACACTCTCCTTCGTGTGGCTGGCTGACTTCCTCCAGTGTTTTGAAATGTCACTGTTACATGTGTCCTCTTGATTAAAAGCTACTATTCACAGGATCTAGGGGGCCTTGTGCATTAGCTCAGTTGTTTAAAGCGCCTACTTGGGCAAACCCAGTTAGGCCCAGGGGACCTTGATTCGATCCTCAACTCCACATGCCACACCAGACCTGCCCTTAAGGCACCCTGAGCCAGCTAAAACAAAACAAAACAAAGAATCTTTCACAGGATCTGTGGACCTCTGTTTGGTTCTTTTGTTTGTTTTTGCCTTTTTGAGTTAGTGTCTCACTATGCAATTTAGGCTGGTCTTAAACACCCACTTCATAACCCATGCTGGCCTCATACTTGCAGCAGTCTTCCTGCTTCAACTCCCGAGTGCTGGTGACCTTTGTTAAGAGTAATTTTATGGGGCCAGAGAGATGGCTCAGTAGAATAAGTGCTTGCCTGCCAAGCACAAGGGCATGAGTTCAATCCCTGGTTCTGCCAAAAAAAAAAGTAATTTTAGAAGGATTTTTTTGCTGGCTCAGGCTGCCACAAATGCAGGTATGGTGTGGCACCAGGAGCTGGGGATCGAACCACGGTCCCACAAGCCTGACTGTTTGCCCAGGCAAGAGCTTAAAGAACTGAGCTAACCAGCAAACCCCCAAGAGTAATTTTAAATGTTAGCTGTTATTTTTTTTAGGGATAGTAGTTCAGTGTCTGGGGTAGTGATTTCTAAGCTGTGGGTGCTGTCAGAACTTTGTAAAAGCAATAGATGCCACTGTCAAGAAGTGCTGTGGGGGCCGGGGAGATGGCTCAGTGGAATAAGCGCTTCCCTAGCAAGCACAAGCGTCTGAGTTCAATCCCCGGTTCCACCAAAAAAAAAAAAAAAAAAAAAACTGAATTAAGAAGTGCTGTGGTAAGGGGGCTGTGTCTTGTCACATGCTTTGGTCCTGTAGGGATTTGTTGGTCTCTTGGTGGTCCTGGGGAGAAGATGGTGAGAAGATTTAGAAAATAAAGATAAGAGATAATAGCTGAGGTCAGGTGGTAGACCAGGCCTGGTTGGCAAAGGACCCCTGAACAATAGTAAGGGTATTTATTTATACCTTTGCAAAGTTAGGAGATACAAGGTTGCCTAGCAACTAATAACCAGCAATGTCCAGGCACAATCTTACTTGTTTCATTTTATGTAGTTGGTACAGGGTCTCACTGTGCAGCTCAGACTCGTAATGATCCTCTTTGTTTTCAGCCTCCCCAAGGCTAGGATTACAGGTGTGCACCACCACACCAGGACTCATTCATCAGCTCAGTGAGCCCCAAGGGCAGGGCTGGCTGTGATATGTGGGACCAGGAAGGGATCGAACCCTGGTCCCTGCACTTGCCAAAGCAGGCACTCAGCCCACTGAGCTATCTTGCCAGCCGTAGGATTTTTTTTTTTTAAGACTGAGGCACCTTGACTGCTTTAGGCAATGAGACCTCATCAGTGAGGCCTGCCCTCCCACGTATAATCAATTGCCAGCTTTATGGACTCCCAACTGGTCTAGTCCCTGAGGAGGGCATCTCCTCCACACAGCCTTGCAAGACCCTGCTGGTCTCAGCACCCACTCACAGATGCCGGGGTTGTTCTCAACACCTCACTTTGAGCCCTTGGTGTCCTTACCCTTTAGTCAGTTTGACAATTTTTTTTGGTACCTGGACCTCGGTGGCCATGAGTCATGCCTAGGAAAGGGGTAGCTTGTGTTTGGGAAGGTACAGCTGAGGATGCAATGGAAGAGAGCCTTATCTCTTGTCCCTTGAAAACCTGTTTAAGATAGAAAAGAATATGACCCTGTGTCAAGATAGACTCCCTAGAGGGGCCAGCAAGGTAGCTCAGCATACTAAGGCACTTGTTTAGGCAAGTGTAGAGACCTCACCGTGGTTTGATATCTGGCGCCACATGCTGTGCCAGCCCCATCCCCAGCTGTGCCAGTCCCATCCCCAGAACGGGCTGAGCTGGCCAGAGTCTGGGCATGGTGGTCTGCACCTATAATCCCAGCGCTGGGGAGGCTGAAACCAGGAGGATCACCATGAGTCTGAGCTGTGTAGGGAGACCCTGTAACAACCAAATACACTAAAAAAGACTACCTAGGCTGTCCCGACTATGCAGGCTCACAGAGGTTTCCCTAGGAGCATCTTCCCAAGAAGGGTGTTCATGAGCCAAAGCAACTTGTCTCCCGGGAATGTGCCTCCAGGACTTTGACTTTGTGTGTGTGTGTGTGTGTGTGTGTGTGTGTGTGTGAAACCGGGGATTGAACTCAGGCCCTTGTGCTTACCAGGCAAGCACTTATTCTACTGACCTATCTCCCAGCCCCTCTACTTTGACTGTTTAAGGACTAGCTTGTCACTTACAACATTGAAGTAGCAAGTGTTCTGTCATTGAAAGGCCTGGTGGCAGTGACATTGCAATGGCAGTGGTGTGACCTGCTTGACATTCCTGAGAACTTGCTTGACAATCTTGGGAACCCAGCAGATAAAGGAAGGAGGTGAGGGTGCCAAGAAGGGAGGAGGCTGGGGGGAACTGTTGATCTTTGGTGTGGTCTGTTTCTTTCATTTGTTATTAATTAGCTGGTATCAGAGAATTGTAGATGATTGATTGATTGAGGTTCTAGGGATTGAACCCAGGGCCTCTGCGCTAAGCTATATTCACAGTTCCTGTTCTGTTCTGTTCTGTTCCGTTCTGTTCTCCTATTGTCCTATTCTCCTATTCTATCCTATTTTGAGACATGGTTTCACTAAGTCCCAGTTGCCCAGACTGGACTTAAACTTGCAATCTTTCCTGCCTGTCGGGATCCCAAGTGCTAGGATTATAGGCATGTGCCACTATACCCAGCTTCCAAACACTTTAAAAAATAAACTCACAGCCAGTGAGGTGATACACATCTGTAATTCTCAGCTACTCAGGAGACTGAAGCAGGAAGATCGTGAGTTCAAGGCCGACGTGGGCAACGTACCTAGAACCTGTCTAAAATTAATTAAAATAAAAATAAACATACAGAGGATACAGTAGAAGTACTTTAAAATGATCTATGATGTCTGCTGGTAGGCTTAACTACCTCATAATTGTCTGATTTATTCCATGTGATTGTGATGTCTGGCAGACCAGCCCATGGTAGAACAGTAATGGCCAGTGTAGTACCACCACTGTCAGTGTCACATAGGTTTATGGGACACCTTCCCATGTGTCCTGTATATCTGTTTGGTGGCAGTTTTCCTGACTCTCTCCCAGACGCCACTCCTCCATGGTCCTGGCACCAACACAGTGGGGACCTGACCGCACCCGGCTCTAGCGAGCACCTTTCCCTTACTTAGCTCACAGCTCTGCCTCTTTCCAGCCCTGGCTGTTGCCTCTTACAGGCTTTCTCTTCCTTCTTCCTTCCTCCCAGTCATCCCTTCTCCATGAAGCTCTTATATGCACACAGCTTGTCATCACCTGGTCACTGCAGGGACAGTGCCCCATGGCAGAGACTCACCTCCCAGTGGCAGGAATGCACTCTCTCCTGGACCTTGTGGTTGATAGGGTGGAGCACCTGGGGAAGCTGGGGAGGAGGTGCAGGTCAGACAGAGCAGACACTGAGCCTTGTCTTAGGCACGCCCCTCCTCTGGGCATCTCTTCAGGGCTTCACCCTCAGCAGCTGCTGCTCACAGCCACCCATCCCAGCCGCACAGAACCCCAGAGTTAGCGTTCTGTGATGTCAGCTGTTCCACACAGCTGCAGATGGCTTGAGGCTGTGTTGCCGGGTGGCAGATCACTAGTGTAAGTGACCTGCATCCGGGGAGTCACTGGTGGGAGCTGTGTCCTTAGTTGTCAGGGCTCAGGAGAACGAACCACTGGCCGGCTGAGGTTCCCACCCCAGTGTCCTGTCCAGGACGTAGGCTGTTGGGAATTGAACAGTGCAGTGCTGCAGAGAAAGAGCCAGGCCTCGGGCCAGGCGCTCTTCTTTCTCTAAGCCCAGGGACCTTCTCTGTCTGTCAAGCTGGAGCCAGAGCTGTAGGTTGCTGTCCACAGCCAGAGACACAGCCACAAACCTACAGACTTCCGAATCTGACAGCTGTCCTAAAACAGATGTTACTCCTCCCTCCGCTGGCTATCCTTGGTTTGAAGAAATTATGCTTCTCTTTCTTTAGGGGATCTGCTGCAGCTACCTGATTGGTCTAGAGTCCTTCTTAACTGGCTTTTGTGGATTTATTTTCAATAAAAACCATTTAAATTGAGTACTTTTCCTGTTTTTTTCTTTTTTAATACTGAGACTGAGCCCTGGGATGTTCCACCACTGAGCGATATCTCCAGCCTTTTTTTATGTTTTATTTTGAGACACAGTCTTGCTAAATTGCCCAGCTGGGGCTTGAACTTGGGAACCTCTTGCTTCAGTCTCCCAGATGTGTAATTGCAAGCACCATCATGCCTGACCTCCAGACCTTTTAAGATTTTTGGTTTTTGTTTGTTTTGTTCTGTGTTGTGTCAGAGTCTTGCTAAGTTGCCTAGACTGGTCTCAAACTTGTCATCTCTGCCTCAGTCTCCCTCACTGCTGCAGTTACAGGTAGGCACTGCCATGCATAGCTTAAAATGAAAACTTTCTTGAATGATGACAAATTCTTGTTTACTTTCATTTATTTTGAGATGGATCTTGCTCTGTTGCACAGGCTGGCCTCCAACTCCTGACCATGAATTCCTGGGCGCAAATGATCTTCCTGCCTCAGCCTCTTTTGTAGCTGCAACTAAAGGACACCACCAACTTTAATAATAACATTTTTTTTAAGAATCATGTGGATGGGCTAGGGAGATGGCTCAGTGGAATAAGCGCTTCCCTGGCAAGCGCAGGGGTCTGAGTTCAATCCCTGGTTCCACCAAAATAAAAGAGAATCACATGAATAATAAGAAAGCTAGGGGGAAAAAAAAAAAACCTATGAATCGTGCATTATTTACCCAGAATAGCATCGCATGTGTTGTTACGTTGTGTCGACGCCTCTGGCTCAGTCCGACTTGCTGAAACGTGCTTTCCGCTTCCTCCTCTCCAGTTGTCATGGATGATGATGACGACTCGTGTCTCCTCGATCTTATTGGGTAAGAGACTCCTCCCACATCTGGAGAGTTGATCACATGAGGCTTGCTCACCAGAACAGCCTCACTATAGTAATACCCACTGAGCTTTGAAATAAAGTTGAATCATGGTAGTCAAAGCAGCAAGTGGAAGAGGTCTCTGTCAATTGGGGGGGCATTATTCAGGTGTCCCTTACTAAAGCTTTGTTCCAAAAGTCCCCAGGGGTTGGGGCTGGCGAGATGGCGATGGCTCAGTGGTCTAAAGCACCTACTTGGAACGAGCTTGACAAAGCACAGGGACCGCGGTTCGATCCCCCAGCACCACATGCCAGCC